ATTTAACGAATAGAATTGATATCGTTATCAATAATTACATGACCAGATATTAATATTATACGCTTATTATAATTATACATAAACAGTGTTTCATTTTATTACAGATTCTTGTGTGGGAAGAAACAACAAATGGCACGCAAAGTCTTGTTTTATTAGAAAAATTATTTCCATACATCGACCAAACTACATGTCAAAAAAAAAATACAAGTTTATTTGATCTTTATTTGACTTTTGATAAGATTTGTGCCGGTTCTACATTCGGTAGTATAAATTTAGATTATGAGCATAACAATGAAAGCGTAGATTTTAAAGTGATTCTAGTATTTGTTATGGCTCTTTACATATTATTTTGGAGCGTTAAAAATAATTCAATTTTGAACTATTATGGATGCTCTTGATAAAATATTGGAACCAGTTAATTCTTTTGGTTTCAAAAGTAAAATATTCCAGTGTTTTTCATAATAATTTGAAAAATTAAAAATCAGAAAACAAAAATTAAGTTCAACTGGGTTTTTTATGCAAAACCAGTTTTTAACAATATTGTATATTTAGGGTTTTTTTTACAGTAACGTAAAATTGAAAAATCATAAATACATGAAATATTCAACAAAAATTGATGTATTTATTTTCCGTACATTATGATAATATTGTCATCATATTTTTTACCTATTAATAGTAATATTCTTAAGATGAGTCTTACGTATAATATATCTCTAGATTCAGAACTAGCACACAGCGATGGTCTTGGAGACAGTGGATCGGGTATAAGCTTTTTGCACTCCAATTCTTATTTTTTAACTGGTGTACTCAGTACTATACATATAGAAGAAAATAATACAGTCGCAGGTTTTACAGGCATTGAATACCATATAAAATTTATTCATGACATTTTAAACAAACATGTAAGTAAATATATTTCTTGAGAGCTGTAAATTTTAATTGAATTAATGAATGAAATTAATCCAGTTAATGATAACTTCTGCTTTCAAACTAATTTCTTAGGTATAAAGTATAATTTTTAACATACTTGTTTTTTGACAGGTAATAGTGAATTCATGCGTTTTACCAACTGCTGAAGGAGTCGTGTATTCTTATGAAGGTTCTAATGAGACTTTACCTAACGGTGCATTAATTAAGCATAATCGAATTGTTATTGAGAATTGTGCAGTTGGATATTATAAGGCTTATCCCAATGGTTTTAGGTTTTGTCAGGGAAGAGGAAAATGGGTATCCAATTCTGAGAAATTGTGTTTCAGTAAGTTATCTATTTCAATTCAAATGACGTAATAGTTATTTATTTGTCAATTAGGAAAGTATAGTTATGTTGATCATAATTTATTTATATTTATAGAAATGTGTCCACCTCTACTATCTGATAGTTTAGATATTAAATGCACGCTTAATGGTAAGTATGCAAACTGTTCAAATTTATCAATACCCAATACAATAGCAACGCCATCATGTAAGCCAACATATATTGCTCCGAATGGACAAGAAGATACTCC